TGAGAAATGGGTCAGAACTTAGAAAGAAGCTCCTGTATTCAGTCGGAACTCGGTCTTCTTACCTAACACATCAAGGGTTATCCAAGCCTCCTCTATGGAGATGGCAGAGTGTCCAGTGGGAACCGTGGATGACTTCGGGCCCCCTCCATCCTCTGTTCTCTCAGCCATTATGAGTGTGGGTGGGCCAAAGCGTTCTCCAGAGCCTGAGGAAATCCCTTTCCCAGTGGCTCTTTTGCTTACAGAAAACAAGGGGACAGCAAGTCCCAAGTCAGGGACTCTCACCTGGGCATCCCAGAGGCTGATTTCATGACACTTTCTCAGAATGGGTAACCCTGAGGAGGCACATGGTTTAAGACAGCCATTAACAATTGTGCAAATTTGCTTAGATTTTTTTTTTAAATTTTTGAAAAAAATTTAACAATAAAAAAAATTTTTTTAAACCTCCTCTGCCCTGTCCTTATTGTTGCAAACTCCAAAGGCCATGTTTAAGAGTTGGTTCTTGGGTGTTTGAGGTCCCATTTCTGCCTTTTGTAATTTCCTCCTAAGTCAAGGGCAGATCAAGTAATAAAATGGATACCTAGGAGAACTTGCCCTTCCCAGGAGTCTGGGTTTGCATTAGTCTATTTCCTGAGTGTCTTAGCCATACTGTCCTGAAACAGAGCAGGATGCTCTTCCTTCCCCAAAGTTACTTCTCTAACCTCGTCATAATTAGCTGGTTTAATCACACACTTTTCCATACCTTCTATTAAATAAGTTACCATGTGATTTCTGCATTTGAGATCTTGGGAACCTCTCTGGCAATGCCACTGAGGGTCCAGGTCTGGAGCTGCATCTCCCTCTACATGATAAATGGCATGGCTTCTGTTACAAGCAGCTACTCCATCTGCATATTCATGGGTGGTACCCAGAATCCTTTGTTTCTCTCTTATGGTACAGCAGGTGGACTATAACAGTTGCAGATCTTGCCAAGATAAGTCAAAGTATGTGCTCAACATAACGAGCTCCTCTGTAAACTTCCCTGGGTCCTCCAAAAATGAGCCAAATTTTTCCTTGCATAAAGTCAAATCAGTCACATGTACTCTGATTGTTCCCCTATCTCTGTCAGCTACCTCTTGCAAAGGACACAGGTTCAATTTTAGGGGGTGATAATGGGGCCTCACTCCTGGTGGTACTGCTGGGTTCATTTCCTCAAGCAGCAGGAGGTATAGGCTGGGCCTCATTGGCTGAAGGGGAGGGATGTCTGATGACCTTCAGGTGGAATCCTGCACTGGAGAACTAGCGAGACTCCCCAAAAAATTGGGGAACTGAGGAGGCTCCAGGGGGCACGTGGTCCTCCTAGGGGGAGCAGCTAGGAGGGGATCATCTAGGAAGCGCAGCTTCTTGTTATTTAGAAGTAACATGAGCCTGACACATCCTACAGCTCTCCATTAGGTGAGGGTCCTGGTAAAGGCCCATAAACACCCTTACATAAGGGACCTCTCTCCATTTTCCCTCCTTTTCACAGAATAAGTCCAATTGTAAAATTGTATTATAATGTAAAGGAACATTTTTAGGCCAAATTTCTTGGTCTTCCAATTTGTATTGGACCCAAATTGTGTTGCAATAGGAAATGAATTTCTTTCTCTTGAAGCTCTTTGATTTGGATTTGCTCCAATTGCCTAAAAGGCATCCTAGTGGTGAGTCCTTCAGGATTCTCACCATTGTCCCTGCGTCTAATGAGCATCTTTACAGAAGTTTTTCTAAGTCTAGTGAGAGCCCAGTTATCTTCCCTTTCAAATTCTCACCTTTGTTCCTCAAGAAAGGTCAGTAGGGAAATTGCCACCAGTTTGGGCAAAGAGGGTCTAAGTACAGTTAGCAGGGTGTGATGAAAGTGAATTATGAGACATGAGCGGGCAGTGCAGTGGTAAGTGTGTCCACTGGTAAATAGAATACAAGAAAAGAGGTGTTCTAATAAGCAGAGTATAGAAGGAGAGGTGAAAATGGGGTGACAGTAAAAAAGAATGAATTGGCCAGGCATGGTGGCTCATGCCTATAATCCCAGCACTTTGGGAGGCCAAGGCAGGTGGATCACGAGGTCAACAGATTGAGACCATCCTGGTCAGCATAGTGAAACCTTGTCTCTACTAAAAATACAAAAATTAGCTGGGAATGGGGGCGCACGCCTGTAGTCCCAGCTACTTGGGAGGCTGAGGCAGGAGAATTGCTTGAACCCAGGAGGCAGAGGTTGCAGTGAACTGAGATCAAGACATTGCGCTCCAGCCTGGGTTATAAGAGTGAAACTCCGTCTCAAAAAAAAAAAAAAGAATGAATTCATGTCCTACTGTTGTTTGCATGTATTTATAAAATAGGCACTCATAGGAAATTATGACAATGCATTTATTTTCAAAAAGGCATTGTATGTGAGATGCAACCTGATATAATGTCCAAGAAAACAAAAAATGTCTGCATCTGGTGATATGTAACTCCTTGGGTTAGAAATGTCCTGAAAACATATTTCTGAGCTCTCCCACAGGAACCCAGGCTCAGTACAGAGACAGATCTTTTGGTCCCTGACTCTGACCTTTCTCCTTTCAGAGGACCAAACCAGGATGGGATCTGTCATTCATCAGAGCTTTTAAACTTAGTTCTGCTCAGGCATCTCACAGTGGCTCCCACCAGCTCCCTCATTTGTAACTGCAGAGACATTTAAGAGTATTTTCATCTCCGAAGAGAAAGTAGGTGATGGGATAGCCTTTAATTTCCAAAGACCTGGTCCCTGGCTCCAGTGAGCATCCTAGGTGAGGAAACAACCTACTATTGTTCTGTCTGTATGTGTAAATGAATGACATTAATGATAGATTTTGAAATACAGTGGTCTGACACAGACATTGAATCCTGCTGTGACTATGAGGACTGAAGAAGGGTAGTGATGTTCTTGTCATCCTTTGTCAGGAACTGCAGTCTTCGGCACACCTTAGTCCCTGGAGCCACCCCTGAGGGGTATTCAGTGTTGGAGCAATTTTCACAACTTTTCAGCTGACTCAGTGTTTCAATTTAAATCATTTAATTATTATTGGAGAAAACATGCAATGCTATTTTCCTTTTACTGATGAAGAAACAAGTAGAGAGATGAAACAATTTGCCTACATTTTTAAGGCTAATTGATGCTGGAGACCAGATGAGAAATCAGGTCTGTTTGATCCAAGGCTCTTAATCCCAAACTTCAAAGCATCTGACTATATCTGAATCTTTTAGCATTTCATTACATTCATGGCATGGACTCTTCTATAATCTAGGTTCATGATCATTGTCATCCAGTTTCATAACACAGACTTATTTCTCCATCACCAGCAATTTTCTATTACAGCTGTTTTGTTTACAGAGCTTTCTTTTCCTTTGCTGGCACCCAAACCCAGATTTTAATGTACAGATTTTTTTTTTTGCCTTTATTGTTACTTTTATCAGTTATATTTATCAATCATATTTCTTTTGCTCCAGCCAATAATACTTTCAATTCTTGCTGGATGCAGTGGCTCACACCTGTAATCCAGGCATTTTGTAGGACTGAGGTGAGCTGATTACCTGAGTTCAGGAGTTTGAGACCAGTCTGGCCAACCTGGTGAAACCCCATCTCTACTAAAAATACAAAATTAGCTGAGTGTGGTGGCGTGGGCCTGTAATCCCAGCTACTTAGGAGGCTGAGGCACAAGAATTGCTTGAACCCAGAAGGGGGAGGTGGCAGTGAGCTGAGATCGTGCTACTGTACTCTAGCCTGGGAGACAGAGGGAAACTGGCTCAAACAAAAACAAAAGCAAACAAACAACTTTCAATTCTTTTTGTAGATAGTTGTATACTATAGAGAGTGGAGATATAATTTTTTAAAAGTAAGTTTTTGGTTGGGTGCAGTGGTTCACGCCTGTAATCCCAGCATTTTGGGAGGCTGAGGCGGGCAGATCACCTGAGGTCAGGAGTTTGAGACCAGCCTGGCCAACATGGAGAAACCCTGTCTCTACTAAAAATACAAAAATTAGCCTGGCATGGTGGTGGGCGCCTATAATCCTAGCTACTCGGGAGGCTGAGGCAGGGAGAATCACTTGAACCTGGGACGTGGGGGTTGTAGTGAGCCGAGATTGTGCCATTGCACTCCAGCCTGGGCAACAGAGCAAGACTGCCTAAAAAAAAAAAAAAAAAAAAGTTAAGCTTTCATGAAAATGCTCTGTTTTTAGTCCTTTCATATACAGTTGTTCGTCCTCTTGTAAAATAAAACTTCATTCTAGCTGTAGTGCTGGGTATGAAAGGTGTCAAGAATATTGCTTTTGATCTGTTTCATACCCACAAGCAGGACAACAACAATATACATTTTGTAAGCCCTTGAAACTTTTGCCCTTGTGAGTTCTTTCCTCCATAAATAGTATTGAAAATTATATTTTATGGCCGGGCACGGGCATGGTGGCTCATGCTTGCAGTCCCAGCACTTTGAGAGGCCTAGGCAGGTGGATCACGAGCTCAAGAGATTGAGACCATCCTGGCTAATATGGTGAAACCTCATCTCTACTAAAAATACGAAAAAAATTAGTCAGGCATGGTGGCGCACACCTGTAGTCCCAGCTACCTGAGAGGCAGAGGCAGGAGAATAGCTTGAATCTGGGAGGTGGAGGTTGTGGTGAACTGAAATCGCTCCATTGCATTCCAGCCTGAGGAACAAGAGTGAAATGCTGTCTCAAAAAAAAATATATATATATTTTATAAGTGTATTGGCATAAAGATAAATATTAATCCAGTTGAACTTAGATTATATTCATTTTCTTCTTCTTTTAAAGAAATTAAGCATTTCAGGGGCCCCTAAAATATCATGGGCTGTTGGGACTACTACTGTCCCTTAATGAATATGTCTTATATGTTCTTCTAATAAAAATTGATGGAGACAACATAATTGACTGTTCCAAGTTTAATCAAGAATTAGAATAAATCTCCATAAAATATCACCAGATATTCTTGCCTAAATCTTTATGTCACACGACTTATTTATCACCAGTTTTCATTATTTGCTTCCAGAGTTGCTTAATGACGTTTTTCACTTCTTCATTTCTGAGTGTGTAAAGTGTTCAACATAGGTGTAAATAGCTGGGACACAGTCACAGCTTTGTCAGTGGGGAAGGAGCTTAGAGGTCTTAGATACAGGTATGAACAAGGGACAAAGAATAGGATGACAACGATTGATACGAGAGGCACATGTTGACAGAGCTTTGCGACGTCCGTCAGAGCTGTGAGTCCTCAGGGAGCACAGGATGATGACATAGGAAGCAACCAGCATGGAAAAAATCAGGAAACACAGTGACCCACTGTTGGCAGCAATCAGAGGCCCCAAGGTGTGAGTGTCCGTGCAGGCCAGCTCCAGAAGAGGTACTAAATCACACATGAAGTGATCAATGACATTAGGGCCACAGAATGGTAACTGGGCTATGAACAAAACCTGGATGCCTCCATGCACAAATCCCAGAATCCCAGCCACCCCCAACAAGAATCCACACATAGGTCGGCTCATGATGGTTGCATACTGCAAGGGCTTACAGATGGCCACGTATCTGTCATAGGCCATGACACTTAATAAGATGATCTCAGCTGCCCCAAAGAAATGTTCTGTGAAGAGCTGAGTCATGCAGCCATTGAAGGATATGGTGTTCTTTTCAGAGATCAAGTCAAAGATCATTTTGGGGGCTATGGAAGAAGAGCAGAGACTATCTATAATGGATAAATAGGACAGGAAAAAGTACATGGGAGAACCCAGGGCTGGGCTGATAAGGATGATCACTGAGATGAGCAGGTTACCTGCCAATGTGATCAAGTAGGTGACTAAAAACGTAAGAAACAAGAATTTCTGCAGTTTTGGATTCTGAGTGAGGCCCAGCAGGATGAATTGTGTTACATTGTTCATCTTCTTCATAGGTGTAGCTCAGGTTGTGGGTATATGGCCCATCTGAAGAAAAAATAGCATTTCTGTGCCAGAGATAGGTGAAGGGGAGGAAGGCAGCAAATCACACTGCAACATGTGTACCTATGCAACTATTTTGCATGTTCTTCACATGTACCCCAAAACTTAAAATGTAATTAAAAAAAATGTTTCAGCCCATTATAATCTTATGGAACCACACACACAAAAAAATAGCATTTCTGAATGATGGTATTTTAAATTCAATACTAAAATATTTCGTTACCTCTTTAGTCTTGGTTTTTGGGGGTGATAGAGCTACATTGCCACTCACCTCTGCTGTTTTGCAGAGTTGAAAAGAAGAACAGAGGATTCGATTTCTCCTAATTCATAGTAGTGAAATAGTGACAATATCTTACAAGTACCACGATAGAACAAGGTCTTATTATAAATGTTGACTTCCAAACTTCCTTTCTGGCTCTAAAGTTTCACATATGTCTTTCTTTCATTTTTGGGGAGGAGAAATCTTATCAATAACAATTGTTTTGAAATTATACTTTCTATTGTTATGGTTATTTGTAGGTATATGAACCCAGTATGTGTATTAGATACTAATTTGTGTAATATATGCTAAAGTGCAAAGCCTTACGAAATCAAAGCTAGCTGTGTTCTGTGATCTATTATCCTTTTCTATCATATAAACACACATGTACACAGATGGAGACAGAGCTGCAAATGGAGATATTTTTCTTTTGGAATGCCGAGTAACTATCATAATAACAAACAGCTCATTGAGCATAATTCATTCAGCATCCCTGAATGCTGCATCCTATCCCTTTTCTTCATGCGCTTTCTGCATCTTTGACTGTGGCTATGTAACTGGTGTGAAGTTATAAAATTTAATATTTCATAAATAAGTTTTCCTCACAGTTGACTTCTATCACATATAGAATTATGCACTGGATTAGATCTATTTCTCCATTCACATCTTATAAATGGAATTAAATGAGTCATGATGACTTCCCTGAGTTTTCTGTTGGCAAGACAGAAATGTCAGGGTATAATGAATTTTCTGAGATAATGCAATTTTCTCTTTTGGCCTAAGTTCAGTCAGTTAAGATGAACTTGTAGTTTTCATTGCTAACTGATAAACAACTGGAAATTCCTATTGCTAACTGAAAACATTGTATGTATATATATGAATGTAGATATTTTTGAATAATCTAGACAAAGAGTTTCAAGAATAAGTACATGTCACTACAAAAGAGTATAAGATATTTTATTTCTTCTCCTCCCCCTTTTCTCCTTCTTTCCCTAATCCCTGGCAAAAATATAACCACAAAGTTTTCCTCACAAACTTCTAGAAACAGAAGTCAGTCAGCATTGTAACCTCTCAGCTTCATTAAAGGTGAGTAAAAATATCTTCGGTTTTCAGGAAAACTCGGTCACTAAGTTGCTTCCTCTTTATTCATGGCTTCTGTAGATGGTGACTATATGGTTAACCATTCTCAATGGATTTAATTCACAAATTCTAACCTCCCTGTGGCAATATGGAACTCACAAAAATGGGAAAAGCATTTCAAGCCATGACAAACTGAAATCTACAGAATCAGTGTATTCAGCAAGACATAAACGTTGATCAGGACGTTTTAAAAGCAACTGCAGTAGTTTTTAGCACACCGGGTCTGGCAACATTATGCATAAGCTTTTCTACTGGTATTTTTATGTTGGTGTGTCCAAATTCATTTTCAGAGAAAAATACTAAACTTCGAGTCAGTATGTAATGACAAAAACTATTTCACTGAAAACAAATTAGCTAAAACATGTTAATCTACTTAAAATTTGGGAAAAAAGATTTAGTTTTCACTGAGCAGGATGTGTTGATTGTGGATTCCTCCATTTTTAGATGGAGAGCAGTCACTGCTTTCCTCCCCTCTAGGTGTGGAACACGGCCACAGATAGACTCCATGAGCTGACAAGTGGGACGCTGGAATTCTCTAGACAGCTCTCCCAATTCTGACATTTTAGTTTATTTTGCTTTCCATTGTCAGTCTGAATTTGCTAAGAAAACAAGCTGTTTCAGTTAGAAAACTTCAGTATCTCTAGGATTTAGTGTCTACTCGCTTTCTGGGTTTCCGATGAATGTATAAGCCAATCTTCAAAATATATCTATTTTTCAGATCTCTTAGGACTGTATTCAATCTGAATTAAAAATTAGGAATAATGCAAAATTCTTCAAATCTGGAAAATGCAACTATAAAATGAATAAGTGAATCGAGTCCACTTGATTGGGTATTGTTTTCTCAAATCTATTCTGATGAGTCCTTGAGTCCCTGAAAAATGTGGTGAGAAAATTCCTTTTATTTCTGATTCAAGTTCTTCTTTCAACTCTGTTTCGCTAGAAACCCACTAAGCTCAGGAGTGGTGTTTCCCAAACAGATCTTCATCTTTTTGGTTCCTGTCTCTGCTGCTGTCATTTGCTCACAGGCCCTTCTTTGCAATTCTTTCTTCGTTGGTGCTAGAGAAATATTGAAATAGACTTTCACCGACTGTAGGATTTGGCAATGCATTGACCTTTCAAGTACACAGGGGATTAGTAATTGGCCGTGTTGGAATGTTTGGCAAAGCAATAGACAGGTCCTTCGTTTACTCACACGTGGCACCCACAAACATCATTAGTGGCTAGTTTTAGAAATGCAGTTGAACTTGGGTTAAAGAGATGTCTGTGGCTATTGTTTAGGATAAGATCTGGAACACTTCATTATAGGGCTGTTTTGCTAACTGTGGCATTGTTGAGCCTAGCCTAGGATATGGGGTAGTTTTAGGCAGAGGTCAGAGTTTTAGAGAATAAATTTCTTTCTGAGCCCATATCTGGTCTAAATGGTATGGTTTCTCTGAAAAATGGGGAATGCCAGTATTCAAGGTCATGTGTCTGATTACTCTGGGAGATTGTGAGATTTTTATTAACAACCGACTGAGGGAACTTACATGGCAGGATTTTCAACTACCAAAGATTGGGTAATTTCAAGTGACAGAGATAACTTTCTGTAGGATGATTCCTAGATGACATGTTCTTATGATGAATTTAAAAGTATATATGTTTTCTTTCTACCCTATAAAGCGGCAATGGTATGACTTGGAGCAGGTACCATGCTTTCCCACATCGCCATTGAGAATCAATCACACTCAGCCAAGCACTCATATACGATGACATCCAGAGGTGGAGAATAGAGACTCTTGAAGAAGGCTCCACTTCTATCTTCTCTCCTTCAGCTTCTGAACTGATGAAGAACTGCCTGTACTTTTACATGGAATCACCTTTTCTGCTCTCAACTTTTGCTTTTAAAACAAACTTACACTTCCCAAAGTCCAGAACCAGGAAACAAAAGGAAAACTTTCCTCTATTCTCAATAGAATGGGGGCCTTCTGGACTGACTTGGAGCCTAGAGCTAGCCTGGTGCTGGGGCAAGAATGGACCCTGGATCTACAAAGACTAATCTGGAGCCTGGGATTGCAGGGGCTGGCCTGGTACCTGGAGTCACGAGGTTCTGGAGTATGGAGCTGTGGGGATCTGCTTAAAACCAGGGTCTTCAGGGGCCAGCCTGGAGACTGGGTGTATAAGTGCTAGTCTGGGTGTTGAGTTCATGATGGATGGATGGGTCCTAAGGCCTCAGGTACTAGGCTGAAATTTGAGTCCACAGTAGCAGTCCTAGAGTCTGGGTCTAGTGGGCCTGGCCCAGTGCTGGGGTTTATTGGGATGGGCCTGGACTCTGGGTACTCAAGAAGCCCTGAGCCCTTGGTCTGGTAAAGTACAGGAATGCTGGGGTCAGCCTAATGGGTGGGGCCACAGGGACCAGCCTCATACTGTATAAGCCTGGAGCCTGTGTCTGCGAGTGCTAGCCTGGTATCTGAGGTCAGGGGTGCTGACCTGATGCTGGAGTGGGCCTGAAGCCTGGGGCTGTGTGGGCCCACCTTGCTCTGAGCTGGTCTGTAACCTGGTGCAGAGCTGGAAACTCAGGTCACAAGGGCTGGCCTGGTACAGGGCAGGCCTGGAGCCTGGACCTTAGGGTCAACTTGGAGTCTGGATCTGTGGATGTGGACCTTATGACTAAGGCTATAGGGCCTGCCTCACACTGGGGTAGGCCTGAAACCTGGAGCTACTGGTGTTGCCCTGGCAATGTTGCGGGTCCAGAGACCAAGTCAGCAGGGGAGTCCTGCAACCTGGGGCCATGGGATACTGGCCAGTGCTGGATTTTACTGCGGCTATTCTGATGTTAGAGTCTGAGGGAAAGTGTAGTGCTTGCTTCTCTCTCCTTCCTTCATGCAGAGGCTATTTCTCTCCATGGCATGCTGCCTGGGATTTGTGTGCTATAACCAGGTGCTATAATATCTCAGCTGATTTCCTTAGCTCTTGTGAAGGTATTTTTGAATGTAGATAGTTGAAGCTAATGCTTCTGTGGAGGGACAAGAGTTGTCTGGTGAGACTTTTCATACCATTATTGAGGAAGAAGCTTAAGGTGGACAGATTCTGCTTTGGTTCCTGTTTTCCTGACAAGTAGGAGGTGTAATCTTCTGAGATTAAAGGAAAATTCGTGGAATATAGATGTATTAGCTCTCACACTACTATAAGGAACTACCTAAGACCAGGATATTTATGAAGAAAAGAGATTTAATTGACTCACAGTTCTGCAGGCTGTACAGGAAGCATGCCTGAGAGGCCTCAGGAAACTTACAATCATAGTGGAAAGCGAAGGAGAAGAAAGTACATCTTACTGTGGTAGAACAGGAGACAGAGTGAAGAGGAAAGTGCTACACACATTTAAACAACCTGATCTCATGAGGACTTACTATCCTGAGAACAGCAAGGGGGAAATCCACCCCCATAATCCAATCATCTACCACTAGTTTTCTCCCACAACACTGAAAATCACAATTCGACATGAGATTTGTGTGGGGACACAGAGCCAAACCACGTAATTCCACCCCAACCCCTCCTAAATCAAACA